TTAACCCCCCCCCCCAAAGTGTATATTACTTTAATTATTTTAGCGAATTATTTGCATTTTATACACTGTTTTTTTTTTTTTAGTTCTACTCCTTGTTTACACTAATAAAATAATATTTTCACATCTAGAAAACAATTGTGACATAAACCTATCAAGTCACCAGCAAACCAATGCATCCTTACAAATACATATTTGAATAAACAATATGTATTTTGACAAATCAATATATAAATTAATAAACTTGAACAAACCAATATATCTAGAGGAATACTTGAACAAACCAATATATAGTTGCACAAACCAATATATACTTGAGCCAACCAATGTATCTTAACCAATATATAGTTGGCAAAACCAGTATATGTCTGGTTATACCAATGCATTAAAAACCAATGCATTTGTCATTAAACCATACTACATATGACAACATCCTCATATGCAATCCTTGATGGTATGCTGAATTCGTATATTCAGGCAACCATGGTGAGTAGCGCTGTCAATAAATTCATAAATTATGTTCAGTCACTTTGCAGGGGATGTTCATGTAAGCCAAATCTGCACAGATTTAGTGCAATACTCTTCTCTTCCTTGATGTGCATTAAACATAGCCTAACTGTGCATCATCTGTGCATATCTGCTTACTTGAACAGGAGCATCACTAAGCAACAACTGACAGTGCACTCCATTTGCAGTGAATCCTCTAAGGGAATAACAGAGACTCAACAAACAATAATCATGTGGTGATACTTGCCTGGATTAACCAACCCCAGTGTAAAAGGAAAGTGCCACCAAGCAACGAAGAAGCACAAGAAAAGAAAATTAGGAGGTTCAATACCAAGTGGCAATGTTATGGCTTGTGTTTGACTTTACAAATAATATCACATGTATTGTGAAGACTGCAGGACATATGATTTTAGATACATACTGTTTATGTTTTAATGTTAGCCAAGTAATTTTAGCCAACGTAAGCTCCAAAATACTGGCAAAATACTCATTTGTCAGGTTTTTTTTTTTTTTTTTTAACTTTTCATGGTAAGTTAGAACAGCCAATGCAGTGAAATAATCAACTAACTACAACCAACTCTCTAGTCCTCAAAACTTAAAAAAAAGATCATACCTTTAGCATACTCATTAGCTGTGCATTCTTCGTGGCGCAGGATGTTCAACGTAACGTAGGTTAATAGATAGAATGTGCCAATCAAAATGTGCTTTGTGAAAACTTTGTGAAACAGACCTAACTAAAATGTTGCTCTAGTAACCCACATTATATTAATATTAATGCTAGGAAGCCAATGCTCTTGGCAATTGTTATATGCATCTTGACTGAGGGGGCAGGATAGTCCGGTTTTCTCACAGACTGTTGAATGCGTAGGAGGTATTCGCACTGAATGGTTTTTACTCCCCCTCTACCTGTTCTGGTTTCACCTTGTACAGTTGGACATTTTTGTCAACCATAAATATGCCACAGAACTCCATTGACTCTGAAGTTTTTTTTTTTAAGCAGTTAGTAAATGAATAGAGTGCAAGTCTAAAAGGGGCAAGTTTTTTTTTTAAAGAATAGAATTAGAATAGAGAGTGTTAGAGTTAGAGGGTCAAATAAAGGTGGAACAGATGTGTTTTTAGTCGTTTCTTGAAGATGGTTAAGGACTCAGCTGCTGGGATTGATTTGGGCAGGTCATTCCAACAGGAGGGAACAGTTAATGAAAAAGTCTGTGAAAGTGATTTTGTGCTTCTTTGAGATGGCACAATAATACGCCGTTCACTTGCAGAACACAAGCTTCTTCTAGAGGGCACACAACTCTGAAGTATTGAATTTAGGTAAAGGGGTGCAGAGCCAGTGGTGGTTTTGTAGGCAAACATTAATGCCTTGAATTTAACGCGAGCAGCTACTGGTAGCCAGTGCAAACTGAT